TTTTAACCCCATATCCGTTCCGTTCCGCATTTTAACCCCATATCCGTTCCGTTCCGCATTTTAACCCCATATCCGTTCCGTTCCGCATTTCCGTTCCGTTCCGCATTTTAACTCCATATCCGTTCCGTTCCGCATATCCTTTCCGTTCCGCATTTTAACCCCATATCCGTTCCGTTCCGCATATCCGTTCCGTTCCGCATTTTAACCCCATATCCGTTCCGCATATCCGTTCCGTTCCGCATTTTAACCCCATATCCGTTCCGCTCCGTTCCGTTCCGCATCCGCTTCCGCGTTTTAACCTAACCCATTTGTGGTGTTACTCTGAGTGTATATCCACACCGGGCGAGCTTGAAAAATATGCCCGAATTTTTTTTCCTGTGTTGGTGTAGTGTACTCAGGTGAATATGATATTTGTGGTGTTACTCTGAGTGTATATCCCACCGTGGCCGGGCATATTTTTCAAGCTCGCCCGGTGTGGATATACACTCAGAGTAACACCACAAATATCATTAAGACGCCGAAAGTCGAAAAATTGTGTTTTCTTCCCGTAATCGCTTTGATCAGCCAATCAAAACTTGGAACAAAACGTTCTTAAAATTGTTTTGAACAAAAGTGCAAGGATAGCCTGCGAACAGGCTCTCAAGCTCAGCTTGAGAGCCTGTTCGCAGGCTAGGTCGAGGAACAAAATAACAAATTTCAAACAGTATAATTACACCCGTTTTCAAAATTACGCGACCTCCTCGAAAAATACTCCCACTTCAAATGTCAGTTTTATGTCATAAGAACTGCTAAAAATAGCAAACGTAAACAAACTGTCTAAAGACATTTTAAACCGTATTTAATACCAAAACTGAACAAAAATGAGTCAGATAACTTAGATATACAAACTAAAGCACAATACAAACCATCACAACAGAAATATGTCCCGTGAATGACTTTTAAAGTTTGAAAAATAATAATTTATCCTGGGATTTAGCTGACGAGAAAACTCCAAATATATATAAACAACAACAAACTTTACAAAAGCTTAGTGGAATTCACAAGTTAGATAAAACTTCAAAAGTTTACAAAGGCCTAGCAACAGCTGACGTAGAGGTAAGAAATTCAAGAAAATCCGGTTTTCTCCGGTTAAATTAAAGGTTATCCTACGGATAGTTAAACGCGGTACTAAACGGGCTTCGTACAACGCAATTTTATCGGCCGTTTAACTATCCGCTGGATAAGAAATTTATACGCTGGTTAGCGGCTAAACACCGTTTAAGTTAAACGCCTTTCGTACAACCGACCCCAGCTTGACACTTTACAGTCCGTTTTATATAGCCCTTGCGTGCGCACCCTGATAGTCGAGCTATTACATTCAACTTCCTTGGCGTTCTTGGCGTTTAATTTACGCGTGACTAATCATACTGCTGACTTATATAAAGCGACCGTAATGGAAAACGGCCTAAAAGCAGCACTTCATGGCGTTGATTATTTCTGTAAAAATAAATATTTTCCTTTAGGAGCAATAAGTAAAACGCCAAATGAAATAATGGTTGTGCCGGTGAGCGAACCCGTGGCGGCAGCGCACGAAGACCCTGAAATAATCGTATATCCGTCCCAGGGTGTACTTCAGACTGTCCCTAAAGTCATCGTTATTCCCGCTACTCAACTCCAAGTTAAACAAAGATTACCCGATGGAAATGGCGCAAGACCTCAAACTACCAGTCCGTTACCTGTGAGAGTCAGTTCTACTATATCCATCGTACCTTTAAACGGCACTGTGCATCCATCATCCTCTTTTGTCTCCCCTACTGTGTCCTTGTCCACTTCTCTCTCTATTAAAGGTAAGTCAACGTTTTATTCCATTCATTTCCGTCCAAGGACTTCCCTATATATTGTTAAGTTAAGTCGTCTGGCGTTGGGCGGAGTAAATATTTAAAACATCATTCACCTTTGCAATTGATTGATACAGGGGGACAAGCTAAAGTTTAATTAATTAAAAAGATACTTCGTCCGGATAAGTACTTTCATCCCTTTCCACACAGAGGACTTTCCCTTTGACAAACAAAGAGTAACCAAGTGTATTTTCCTATTTGAATGCGCTGTACGAGATATACTATTGTATAAAACTTTACTGAATATTTAGATAGCGATAAATACGAAAACTTCCGTGTGTCCATGCAAATCAGTAATGACTGCAGGTTTAATCATTGATATTAAATATCATGCACTGATGGAACGATGTAATAATAAATGAGCGTAACACATGATGGATGAATTGTAGTTAACAAATATGATAACGGATTTCTTGATTATATATAACATTACTTATGCCGGGAACCATCCCGGACCACCAGGACAAAGAATACTACACAGAAGTCCATCTCCATTGTTTTTTTGCGTAAGCTCTATTCATCACTCATTAAGTACCGTAAACAGAAGCAGTCCCCCCTGGAAATACTCAAAATGGCGCACGTCCAGGGGGATGACTGCTTCTCTTTACGGTACTTGCCGAGTGACGAATCATGACGAATAGCGCTTACGCAAAAAACAATGGAGATGGACTTCTGTGTAGTATTTTGTGACACAGATGAGGTCTTTTCAGGAATTCCATCATGATATCTCTAATTTCTTTGACATTCTTCAATCCAGTGTCAGTCTTGATATTGCTAATACTATGTAATTGGTGGTCTACACTGCATGGTTTTGAAGTCCATGACATGGTTCCTCCCAAAAATCACTTTGAAGTCTTCTTTGTTCTGATATCAATTTAAATATAACAATATTTAACTTAATGTCAAGCGTTGAGTCGATTTCATCTACCAGCAGACAACGTTTAAAACATGGCTAATGTTTACACAGATCTAGAGTTCGTTCTGCGGTTAAACAACTATAAGCATCATGACATTTCACAAAGGGAAGTTATATCCTCGTTCGTGTTTTGAGCACAGTAGGGTGTTCAGTGAAAGTTTGTATACGTAGAGTTGTTAAATGTTTCCCTCAGAAAGCTCAGTTTAGCTTTGTCTCCCGGCAGAACGTTGCACACAATTACCTTGCGCAGGCTCTAATATTATGTTTCGCGCACAATTGGGTTAGGGTCAAAATCAAAGAGAAATATATTTCAGACCCACTAAGTTTGCCGAGCGACTCATTTTGGAGACATTGATCATCTTCATTTTGGAGAAATTGAAGCTGCCACATGAAGATAATTTGAACCGATTTCCAGTATTCCTTATATAGATGGTGTATTTTACCTGCAACAAGGAAATGTTAGCAATGTTTCCAATGCATGTCCGTTAATTTAATTCACTTTTGTTGCTCTTGAATTAGAGGTAGTGTTTGAAGAGTCCCACTCTCAGGTAGCTCTAGTAACAACTAGTAAAACTGAATCATTAATGAAAAAAGAAATTATCATGTCACTACTCATGTCACTAAGCCATCTTATCGGCATGGGTTTGACTCGTGTTGCACAGCTTTCAGTGGGCTCTTCTAAACGAAGCTCATACTCAGCTGAAGACAGAATTACCGGAAGTAACGTACCGGAAGGAAAAAATTAGGGGGGCGGAAAGAAAATTGCCCGACTTTTCGTGATTGTGCCCGACTAGTACCGAAAAAGTTTTTCCGGAAAAATTATTTTGGGGACCTCCCCCCTCCCCCCGTCGCCAAAAAATTTTCGGTTAGTGTACCATTTTAGGGGTCAAAAAAATTTTCCGGACATACCAAAATTTTTCGTACACACAAATTTTCCAAAAACCACTACATTGGCCACAAAATTGACTAAATTTTCGACAAAATTGACAGAATTTGTCCCATTTATTTTTATAACAAACCAAAATTGCCCGACTGTAACTCGAATATTGCCCGACTGCCCAAAAAACTGGGGGGGGGGGCTACCGCCCCCCCCCCCCCCC